ACCAGGATGGTCTCGATCTCTTGACCTCGTGATCCACCCGCCTCGGCCTCCCAAAGTGCTGGGATTACAGGCTTGAGCCACCACGCCCGGCCTTCAATTATGTCTTAATTGAGAGTATTTGTTTTCCAATTTATCTGAAAGGAGCTCAAGAAAATTAAAAAGAAAACTGGATGCAATCTAATTAACAGATTAAGCTCTTGTCTGGAAATTTCCTTTCAACACTGTTATAATCAAATGCCTTTTAATAAGTAATTGTGCTGAGTGATGTATCTTTAAGTCAAATCAAGCAAACAGGCAGGATCCATGTCCTCTAGAGACCCACCCTTGTGACTGACAATGCAGAAGACATGGATGTTTGAACAGTGAACCAAGAACAAGTCTGCTAAAAGGCAAGATAAAATACAGTATTTACCTGGTATCAAAGCATTGGACTTTTCCACTCCACCAGAGTGGGCCTGGGGGGCAGCGGGGAAAGGAAGAAGGCATCCTGGAAGGAATGGGACACAAAAGTGAAGAAATGCAGGTGATGGATGTTGCTTTGGGTTTAACTTGAAAGACCAAAGATAGATGGGTCTGAAGCATGGGACTGATGCGAAGCCAAGTTTTATTTGGTCTCCTGCCCAGGACTGTGTCTAACTCACCAATCAGAGATGGGGCCCCCGTTCCCACCCAATGCCAGTCATTTAACATACACTTTATCTTCTACCCAGCAGGCCTGCCCACTGGTCCTGGGTGTTCTGCTGTCCTGGGACTCAGAGAGAGACTGTGTTGCAAGTTCCCCCTTTGATAGGCATAAAGATGGATCCTCTTATCTCCTGGCAAAAGTACTTTGCTCTGTCCTCTCTATGTCCACTGCACAGTTGAGGAGGCATGAAGACTGTATTGTGAGGGTAGAGCTCCTTCCTGGCATTCTAGAGGAAAATTCCATCAGTGTCTTCGAGATACCAATCTGTCCTCTTGGCTTTATCCAATCTATTTAATATACTGTAATCAATCTGTAATATCCCAACAGTAAATTCACTGCCAACAACTCCGTGCTTTGGCTTATGATTTGCTGCAGTATGTGTCATCATGAAGCTCTATCCTCAGGCTCAG